ATTGATAACGCCCACCATGCCATAGCCTATGCAAGACCCTGGTGCTGAGCAGTAGAAAAAAATGGGATCAGTGTTTTTGATCTCGATGCTGTAGGTGGGTGGGAAATCAAGGACAGTGTCGACGGGCTCGAAACCGCTGAAGAAACCAGTTTTACCCTGCCCCGTCATTTCGTATGGGATGCATGGGTAGCCGTATTCTGCGCGGACGACACTGTGATTTAGTGGATAGAAGGCAAACTCTATTATCTTTAGCAAGTTAGTATTTCCTCATCTGTTGATATGTGTACGGAGGCCCGATCCAGATGATGAATGAAACTTCTACTTACATCGCCTACACTGGCATTTGTCGACTCGGGTCTGAATTTGTGATCCGCTAGACCGACTGAAATAGTGTGTGTCTGCGCAGCTGCAGAACTCGTCGAGGTTGACGCGCTTGCTGTGCTCAACGAGGCTGTAGGACTGTCACTGCTGAGGCCATCGTTGCCTTGCGCTAGACATATCGAAGGAAGCAGACTGAACAGCAAAGACAAGATGGAGAATACAGAAACTCGGGACAACATCATCAGTGCTGCGATCGTCAAGATAGCAGTATGAAATCTGAGAAGGCTTGCGATCGTGCAGAGAGGACGACGGAAGCTTCAAGAGAAAAGAGGACCGTGGGACTGACGAAGACACCAGAGTGGAAATCAATATTCAAAGACGCAATACGCCAGCCTATCATGGCAGGGGCGCTACAAACAAGGGATCGTAAACAGACCAAGCGGCCAAATTGACGAAAAGAACGGCACAGGATGAGACATGTACGCCATAATCATGGTGGTACGTTTCTGTGGCTGTGGCGTAGACATGAGATTGCTATTCGCTGAAAGGCGGCTAGAAGTCGGCCTCAAGGGATGCTACGACAAAGAGTTGTGTCTTTTGCAAGGGTTCGGTGACCTCATGTGATGATCGCAAGGGCGACAAAGGTCAACAAAGCTCATCTGTCTTGTATCTCCACTAGCTATGCATCTGGGAATGTGGCCACCGTACAATCTGCTTGTGAAACGGACCAGGCATCTGCTTTTGCATGTGCCCACTCGGACGCGTAATTTGAAGTTTGGCAATGGCTAAGGATGCGACTGCCCCGCCGCGTCGCAAGACCAAGGACTACGTGCATGTAAGCAGAACAACATCACTCATAGTCAATGGCACAACTCGAGGCGTTCATTCCCGCATCAGTAAAGGATGACGGAACGCGTTCCTTACTCGCACGACATGTAGGAGAAAAAGACCCAGAACGGAAAAGCACCTGAAGGTATTGAGTTTTTTAACTGCTATTCACAGCTGAGATATAAGGAGAGGAGAGGTCCAAAAAATCGTACCATATGGTGATAACATAGCCCAATATGGCTTGGTATATTCCGCGCTGTTCGCTCGCATTAAATCATAAGCTGTCTACAGCGTCCATCATCAAAGTCGTATGCTGTGGCAGCCTGGGGTCATCGAGAAGGTTGCGCTCGTCAGTGTCGCTAACGACACCGCGTCGCACGCGACCTACTCTGTGTTATGTTGGCCAGATGCAAAAGTGCAAAGCTGAGCTCTCAGCGGAGACCCGGGTCGCCAAAACCAAATGGATCGTTGCTGGAGGAGCTATTGGACCCCGAAACATAGCCCGACGGTGCCGCAGATGCTTGTTTGCCAAACCCAGGGTCTGGCAAAGGATTCCAGACCGGAAAACCCTCAGGTGGCTGACTCTCTCCTAGTGGTTTACCACGAGCATAGTCCACGAGACTGCCGTTGATGCCAGTAAGTGCCCAAGCAAAGACGGCGACATCGCGAATGCTCTGCATGAAGTTGTTCTGGAATTCCATAGACGGCCCTGCCTGCACCATAGCCGGGTGCCGAGCGCCAAGAGGGTATTGGGGCATTTGCTGTGGAGCAGGATGGAACACGGGTTGTGTTGCCCATGGCGCGGCGTAGATACCATTGTATTGCTGTGCTGGCTGGGCCACGGGCATGGTGCCTGGCAACATTGGGCGGGCACGACGTAGACACACAACCAAGCCATCTGAGGTGCAGGATATGACAGCCTCGAGTTCGATGGGATCGTCGCGGATTTCGGAGCGAGGCGAACTCACGGACGATAACGACGAGCGGGCAGCGGATCCACCGAACATGGCTTGATGGGTATTGTTGGGGTCATTGTTCCCGCCAGAGTTGGTGCGCGACGCAGACCGCTCCTCACTGTTATCCGTGGTGCGGTTTGAGTCTGACGGATGTCTTGTGCCGTTGGACGTGGAATGGCCGTCAAGGTCCACTCCGCCTTCAGATTCATCGTCGGAGCCCGTAACATCCGTCATGATGTCATCTTCGCTCTCAGACGAGGAAGCTTCAGGCGCATCGTCCTGGCGCGGGTCCCGGAAGAAAAAGCGCATGTATGCAATGGAATCGTTGCCTTTGGCCGACTCGAGACAGCGGACTGCATCTTCAAGACAATTGGGAGCAATGCAGTAATAGAAGCTGCGTCCCTTCATAGCCTCTCCGGAGATGCCAATGATTTGCTCGATCCCACTGGTTGCGTACATGACGGTCAGGGTACGCGTGAACCTGTTAAGGAACAAGGCAGCTCGCGGCTCATGAGTCTGATCATCGGGGCCGAGGTCAAACTTGCTGGACAGGTGAGATAACATGTGGTAGCGCGGGTCCTTTGGTGACGAGGCGAATAGCTTGCGCACTATAGGAGCCTCGACTGCGCGTTCTGATTGGCTGGAATCAGCATGACGCAGGGCCCAAACGGGTTGAAAGACTTACTTTGGCTCTGCATGCCATGTCTGTAGATGCTGGTGCAGCAAACGAGGACATCGTAGACGACGGAGAAGCAGCATTCACAACCGACCCATTCGCCCTGGCGGTTCTTCAGGCGGCAATAGGATAAGACAGCAGCCTTGTCCAGTCTCACGCCGCGGCTGTGGTGAGCTCTGGCCAGCGGGAGTTCCTCTGGATGAAAAAATTGCCACACGGACCGATTGACTACCTCGTCAGGTGTATGACCGAGGATGTCGACAATGGAGTCGGAAGAGTACAATATGTGGGCATCATCGGAGAGGTCTGTCTTGGGTGAGAATTGGCAGGCAAAAGGCAGGGTCGACGTGACAAACCGTGAATGGTGATGAAGGTGGTATCCATGGTAGCAAGAACGGGGGTGGTGGTCGTTCCTGCTCTACCGCACGCGCCCTGGTCTGTCGAATCTAATAACTCGGTCTGGGACGGGCGGTGGAAATAAGAGCAAGTCGGGCAGTAGAGGCGAGGGACTGTCGGCGGGTCAAATAGGCAGGGTCCAGGTGGCACAGAGGCGCACAGGTGCGGGTAAGGTGTCTAGAGGCCGTTCAGGCGGTGCGACCAGAGCACGGGGTGGGGATGGGATGGGATGGGATGCAGATGGCAGGTCGAAACGTATACGAGTCAGGAGCTATGATGTAATGGGCGATCACGAAGCAGCAGGCGCCCCTCACCCGCGACAGGGCAGGCGCGGGCAGCAGCGAGGAAATATATGAGAAAGCTCGCGGACTTGGGCTGCCGGAAGGGGCTAGCAGCGAGCAGTTGGGTCGGGTGCATAAATAAATCAGCGGAGAAGGAGCGGAAGCGTGACGACGGCCAGAATGGCGGGACCGGAGGAGCGCCAACGGGCTCAGCAGCGTCTGTGTCGGCAGGCGGGCCAAAGAGAGGGCAGCGACTAAGTAAGAGGACGGTTGCGACAGGTGGATGTAGTGGAGGATGCGACAGGCGGCGTGGCATGCAAGAGAGGTGCAGAAAGTGAGCTGACGAACTGCTCACCCTTGCCGCGCCCAAGGATCGACGCGAGACGTGTGCGCAACGGCGGTTAGCAGCTCGTCGGCAGCGGCGCGGGGCACCGGCAGTCGCCCTGCACCTCTGGTCGAAGGAGTGCGCATCAGGCCACTCGGGTCAGGACTGCCTCGAGTCGTGCCTCCAACTGTCCGCGCGTTGCACACGCCGGGTGTGCTGAAGAGCCCAACTGTCAATCCATGCGACTGGCCTTGGCGCACCCGACGTCGATGATGCATATCCATATCCATTCCATGGCCGCCCAGGTGCCTGCATGCAAACTTTAGCCTAGCGCCACCAGCACAACCACGGCCAGCCTGCGAACTGCCAGCGGATGCCCCTCCGCCAGCGCTCTGGCAAACCTACCCAGGCGATTGCCGCTGCCCACAGCATCGCCCGGCCTGCGCGTCTCCTGCCTTGGTCGTCCCTGCCTTGGTCGCCCGGCACTGGGTCTAGCGGCGCGTGGTACGGACCTGTTACTTGTCATCCCAAGCCCTCAACCGAACAACATCATCGACGATCCTCCCCAAACTACGCCACAAGCCACATGCAAGACCCTCAAGGCCTCTTTCCACTGCTTCACCGTCTCTGCCTGCGGGCCCCCGCCTGATTGGCGGCACCACCTCCGTCCGCCTGCTGCTCGCCGCATGTCTCTCATTCACCTGTTTGCTGCAAGTGATAGCTTAATTTCCATGACACTAAAAGCCCTGTCCCTCGCCCTCGCTTCTTTCTAACCCCCGATTGGCACACACAACCTTGCACTTACCTTGCACTTGGGCTACCTCACGAGACCCGCGCCCTGCATATCAGCCATTACGGCTGTGCTTTCCGAGCTTTCCCATGGTATGCACGCCAAGATGGACTGCAACTTTGAACTGCCTTCGCTGAGGGCCACTTTGAGACTAGGCGTAACCCATGCCTCTCGTCCTGCGCGTAGCCACCACTAACTCCTCGACAGGCCCCAACCAAGTCTAGGCTGAGCTCTAGTGAGTCAGGAAGCATGCGCGTCAGCCGTCACTCCATGCAATACTCATCACGTTGCAGCTCAGTTCTACGATGTAGACTTCTATCCCTATACCGCTCCCGGCCAGGTCCCTGTTTTCGCCGTGTGCGGAGGTCCATTTGTATGTATCACGCTGTGTGCAGTCTGCCGTCTACTGATTGGCCAAGACCGTCATATGTCGGTGTAAACTTGACAGCAACGGGTCCGTCGAGATCCTGCGGTGGTTTGAAGATGACGAGGCCACTACTGAACACGGCACGTCCGACGATAAAGTAGACACGGACCCTCTGTGCGCGACCTGTCTAACCATCACCAGGTCAACTACAACAGCATCGTATGGTCTCAGGCTGAAAATGGCGACCCGCTCGTCTGCGTCACGGGAGACTCTCGCATCAAGGTCTTGAATGTCCGGACCGGGGAGCTCACAGCAGTACGGGCCATATCACTGATTGTATTGCATCCACTGACCTTGCACCCAGACGCTGATAGGCCATGGCGATGTATGGTTATCATCTGTCGTATGCGGCGAGCTGCCTTCCTAACATCCTACAGTCAGTGAACGATCTCGCCATATCGCCGATAGACCCGACCATTCTCGCCTCCGTGAGCATTGACCATAGTCTCCGAATATGGAGCCTCCACCCCGATCACGAAAAGCAGCCCCTCGGAGCCATTTGTTACGGGCAAGGCCATAAGGACCAGGTGCTTACCATTGTGTGTGACCTGCAAATATACCCAATTAATATACTGATATTGCCAGGCATACCACCCGAAAGGCCAGTACATCCTAACAGCGGGTATGGATACCAGGATCAATTTGGTAGGATGCACCACCCCGGCCTACTGCTTGACAAAGCTCTGACAAGTCTAGTGGGCAGTACCCGAAGACCTCAAGGAACACGCTGGCACCGACAAGCCGGCCATAGTGCACTATCCCCACTTTTCCACTACCGAGATACACACTGACTTCATCGACTGGTAATGATCCCCTTCTGAAACCGACCTACAATTGCTTACTTCATGCAGTGTCCAATGGTATGGTGACTTGATCCTCAGTCATGCCTGTCGCGAGAACAAGATCATACTTTGGGGTATCGATCGATTCAATTCCAATCGGTCTACGCCTCCTCCGCCAGTCCCCACATCAAGCGCGGTCCACAGTAGAACCCCTGTGACAATTCCAGCGAACTCGACCTCAAATACACGGTCGGCATGGGGCGGGCGCTTCCAGAGACTTCTGCAATTCGACTTGCCGCACACGAACCAGTTCTACATTCGCTTCTCCATCTTTCACGAGCTTGGTCGCCATCCGGTTTTGGTTGCGGGCAACGAGAGAAGCAAGACCTTCTTTTGGGACTTACAACGCCTAGAGAAATCGGGTACCGGAGAAGATGACTCCCTGACTTCGAAAGGCTTACCGCTCAGTCTACCTAGACACGTGCGCGAAGGAAGCTCGGCATCTACTGCCTCATCTGCTATCAGTACAGGCTCGGGTAATACCAAGACCAAACAGAAGCGGCTGAATGAGCATTCTCACGATCGAGGCATATCCGACCCCTTTCGCTCGATCAAAGCACACAAGATCGTCGAGACTCCAAAGTACAAAGCCTTCGCGTTCCGTCACTTCTCCTGGAGTCGTGATGGTCAATGGTGCGTCGGCGCCGGTGACTGTGGGACTATCAATATATTCAGCCGTTGGGATTCCCTTCCTCCAATCGATACAGACAGGGAATTACCTACACAGGAGGGTGACGGCCCACAGATCAGTCAGTCCAACCGCACACCAACATCAGCCGCGCGCACGAACGATGTCGGACTCAGCACGAGCATTAACTGACATAGTACGAGTAGACAAAGACATGATCACGGACTCGCTGGACGGCCTATGTGAGGCACATGCACTCCGGCAGCAGATGGCCGCGGATCAAGGGGAACCTTTCGACGAAGACCTGCGACCTCTTCTGGATGAATATGTGTCCAGCTTGCCAAGTCACGAGAGAGATTTCGCACGTTCAATGTACGAGCGGTGATTCAGACTGGGAAGTAAACAGCTGAACACGTGTGGATAGCTGGGTGCGCGGCCCCATAACACAACCACAAATATTCGAACGCGACCGTTAACCTTACTCGTCGGCACGGTCTCAGCTATTGTGACTCACGATAATGGCATAATACACAGTGAATACAATCAATCTATTGTCATTGAGTTACAATAGCTAATCCAAATTACCGAATTTGCGTTTCGGAGGTGACAATAGGAAAGATGTGGAGACGAGATGCTGGTGGGAGTAAGATCATATTAGGGTCGCAGGCAGCCAACCACGTACTAGTGGTTCGTCACCCCAACAATACCAAACAAAAGTTGCCCGTCATGAAAGCTGTCCCATTTCTCAAATATTCTTTCATCTCTAACACCATTTCCCAAACATTGCGTCGTCTGCCAACTCCATCACAACGTACCGAAACCTTTCGTACAGTACCGACACCCCTCCCAGCGCTATCACAGAAAAGCAATACCATTACTCGCAGTTTTCGGCAAGTCACTACGCCCAGGCAGACTTAAACTAATCATGCACGCTTGCAACACGCAAAACTCACCCGATTCCGCATCTTCCACCATGTCGACTCCCACCACCGCGTCTCCAGACCACGTCGCGGCCACTCCCTCAACAGTCGCAGAGCCCGTACCGCGCGAGAACTCCGTTCTCTGTGGGCACACAGGCTGCACGCGTAGCTTTCCAAGGGATTCAAACATAGCTGCAGGCCACAACGGCGATTACCTCTGCGCTCTACACTGGCTCGATTTATTCGATGCATGCCATGAGTTCTACAATGACTGGTGGAACTATGGTAATGTCCAACGGGGAGCCTCGCCAAATTACACGCCTGAAGGATGATTGCGGGATTGAGGTGGAGAGGAAGAGAGCAGGAGACCAGCGACGCGGTTCTAGGGGCCCGCACAAAATCTCATCAGCAACAGTCACACCCTCTACGCTCATTGTTAGTCTACTGTTGCCACGAGTACTTGCCATGGTCATGGAGAACTCGAAAATCTAGACAAAAAGAAAACCTCCAATTCCCACACTGTCGCGAGTGCGCAGCGCCTCCTCGTCGAGCACATCGGTGAGTGCAGAAACCCCCCACGCAAGCCAGCCCCAAAAAGGGTCTGCAATGTGCGCAGCGCTTGCCGCAAACGCGACCAAAGATACGGCACAGCTGCAGCCCGCGCCAAAATCGATCCCGGTAGCTCTGCCGGAGAAAGAAACAAAAACACAGGAACGCGTTGGCCTTGCGCAGGGACAGCAAGGCTTGCCGGGCATGTATTGTTTGGTACTACTTGCTTTTTTTCGCAACACGTGGGCGCTACCGAAATGTTTTATTTGCACTACACCATACTGCGCTTGCTGCACGGCAACCATGCATCGTCTTTTTGTTTTCGAAGGACGTACAGTACTCGTATCGAGGGAAGCTGCAGGACAGCCATAGATGACCAGGCGAGCGAACAAAGCGACAAGTAGCCCGAAAACACGGAGTACAGTCTGTTTGCTCGCCCATACCACGAGCAGGGGCTTTGTCTGCGTCGAGACTTCAAGCGACGAACAAAGGAGGCAAGACAGTAGGAGAGAGAGGGAGATGGTGTCTTTGAAACACGTTTGTCTCTTAGGAACTCTACGATAAGGACGTTGCCATATACAAAAACGAAAAAAAATACATTGTACTGAGTCGGAAGATGATCAGTCCGAAGTAGCAGACATGTCTTCTCCATCATCTGTATCGTCATCATCAGCAGCAGCAGCAGAACTGAATATCGCGTGTTCATGCGAGGAATGTACAAGTTTCCTTCGTCCAATCTTCCCTTCGGACTCACACTACCCGCGAGACTTCTCACATTTCATCTTTCCACCCGCTTCTACCTCCCAGGAGCCGCCGTCGATATGGATCGACAAGCTATCGTTAGCAGCATACGACATGCTGATAACCGCCCCAACACCAGCATCGCAAAACTCCGATAATACCAGTCACCGCAAGCGACGCAGCCTCGCTATTTCCACACAAGATCCCGACACCGACATACGCAGTGCTTTTCCAAAGACACCGGGGACCTTGCGCTGCTCGAATGTCCATTGCAGCACCCGTCTTCCAATTAGCTCAATGTTGGCTGCTACAGCACGGTTTCCTGCAGATCCTTTGTGTGCAGAGCACGAGGAGCAAGCTGTTCGAGAAGGACGGGATGCGGCTCCCCTCGAAAGCGTTCTCATGTTGGACCAAGCCTGCAGAAGCAACTACGGGAACAGAACTAGTCGGTCGGGCTTGGGTAGCAGGAGTAATAGTTCAGCTTCCTGGAGCAGTTTGGCTTCTTGGGAAGGTGACGATGTGGAGTTTGAATGGGGTGCAAAGGCATTTGATTCGAAGCTTTGCTGGTGAATTGCAGTTATCATCGCTGTCGCTATTGAGCAATGGGAACTTTTTGGCATCGATTGCGTCGCTGGTATTGCGGAAGTCGTAAGTGACTCGTCGTATATGAGTTGTTGGTGAGCTATCGCAGCACTGTAGGATGGCCATGGTACTAGAGTTTGAAATTGCGCACGCAGAATCTGCTTTGCCATGGAGGAAGGGTTATCGAGCTTTGCCTCGTTTTGAGGAGATTGTAAATGGCATTATTAGCAGTGAAATCAAATAGCAAAGAAGATCTATTTTCTCAAAAGACGTATGCACACCATATGGCGTGAAAAGCGAACTAACAACTTGGATGAATGAATGAATCCGCACTTTCCCATCGAATGCTGGTATATAGCATGAGCTGAAGCTGCCCCGAGTAGGAAGCGTTTCATCGACATAAGCCACGTTGATGTCTTGAGCACCTGAACTTCGCATTCATGTATCAAACGAGATAGTCGAACTCGTCGTATACATCGTATTGGGTCTCACTACCCATCTCATGCATCCACTGCATGTGTTCAGCGACCATTTCGTCGAACAAATAATCCGGGAGTGAGTCTTCAAGCCATGCTTGCTGCATTGACGCATCGCAAAGGTACAGGTGCCGATATAGCTCCAGTTCATAGGCCTCGTCTTCATCCTCATCGGGCGCCATGATCCAGCCATCGCCTACTCCGGTCGCAGCCAGCTCATCCCTCTCGTCAGTTAGCGCTGTGATCCAGACATCTTCCCTCTCGAAATAGGATCTAGAGTTCTTGCCGTGGCCATAGCGGCGACCTGTCTGGGCATGGCGATAAGGCTGCCTGGCGTATTGTGGGGGAGCTGAGAGAGAGCCACCCAAACGGGTGTGGAAGGAGCGGTGTGCGGCTGTGCTGCTGCGAGTCGCAGGAACGCCTAGCCCATCGATTGCGATTCGTTCCCCTGGAAAATCTGGAACAAACGAAAATGTGGAAATGTGACCCGAAGAGGTCCCGAGATGCTGGTTTGCTGACTCAGTCTCGCTTATCCATAGATCGTATTCGTCGTCGTTGTGGTCAAACTCAATATCAAAGAACTCAAATCGGCAGAGGGGGCATGTTCGCTTGGTTTGCATCCACTCCGCAATGCAAGCGTCACCGAAAACATGCCCACAAGGGAGCTGGAGTGGCACCTCGGCATATTCGCCTCTGGTGGACGTGTAGTAAGGGTCTAAACATATGCAACACCGCTGTGGCTCGTCTGGGCCCACTCTCACCGGTGCATACGCTTGACGTCTTTTTTGGTGTCTGTGGCTGGGCATGTCTGAGTAGGAAGCTGGGGTCCAATAAGGCTGGCTGATTCATGAGGTTTCCACTTGGCGTGAACGCGATCGTCTGGTACCAGCCTAAAGGTACCAGAGGAACAAAGGCGGGGGTGAAGTAAGACCCTAACGCCGGTCATTGTACATGGAGCTTCGCGTTCCATACCAGACAATCTCTAGAGGACGAGTACCATGGTACACTGTGCGGAGCACAACGTGCCGCACTTTCCGATCGAACGTCTCTTAGTCAACCGCGAACAGTG